TCGACCCAAGATTCGGTTGTAGTAGGAGATCTCGTCGATGACCATGAAGTTCTGTGAGCAGACCACTGGGGGTGAGTGGATGTCAAGGTCAATCGTTCCCACAATGATCAAGGTGGCCCCATTGAAGCCAGTGAGCGATCTGGCAAGTTTTTTTGATCTTGGGCTCTAATCCCATCTGATGGATAAAAGATGGCTGCAGGATGTTGGCTGCGCTGCCCTCGTCCACGTGAACTCAAGGCGCTGCCCTCAATCTACTGGATGGCCTTCTTTGCGATGAATTCTGTGCAATGGTTGACTTTGATCAGCTCCTCGAGGTGCCTTTTCAAGGCATTGCAATTGTTTGTGTAGTGACCGTGCTCCCCATGGAACACGCAGTATTTACCGATGTCCCTCCTAGCCGAATCTCCCCTCAGAGGCGGTGTCTCTTCACCCACGACTTGTCCTTTACTTGCGCTAGGATCTGGTAGATCGGGATAGTAAACTCAGTGAAGGTTTCTTTTTTCGAGACTCCCTCTTGAGGCTGCGATCTGCGCTTGTCTCGGTTTTTGTGTTTGAACTTGTTTCTCTTTGGCTTGCTTGCCTTGTTGGGTGGCCAGCATGCTTGCTGGATTTCTTCGTGGCAATACAGTCATCTTCCCAGAGCGTGTAGCGCTTTGCCGTTGCGAAGACTTCTGCCAAGGTTTGACTCGGAGTTATGGCTAGCTCACGGTATAGCTCGTGTTTCGTTTGCAAGCCCTTCTTGAAAGTTGAGGATGCAACTAGGTCATTGCATCCTATGATGTTCTCCTTCTCAGCCTTAAATCTTCTAAGGTAGTCTTGAAGAGACTCGTCTGGCTTCTTGCGCAGGTTGTACATGTGGTTTGCATGCTTTCTGATCGTCCGGTAAGAGGTGTACTCCTTTGTGAAAATGAGAGCAAACTCCTTGAAGCTGCCTATCGATGTGGACGGTAGAGTGTGGAACCAGTCTTAAGCTGCCCCTGACAAAGTCATTGAGAACACCTTGCACATTAGGGCGTCGTTTGCCATGTACAAGATCATGGCGCTCTTAAAGTGCCTCAAAGTCAAATGGATCTTGGGGTCAGAGTCCCCCTTGAATGTAGTGGTGGACGGTGTTGTGAATCACTTCGGTGGTGTAGCTCGTTCCACCTTATCGATAAAGGGCGAGCATTCGACTCAATCAATTTCCTTGCGCAGGGCCTCCTCCATGCTTTCTTTAAGTTGGAGACCTTGGAGTCGGTCATTTACTAGCCTTTCGACATCTTCAGCCCGCAGGGCTGGTGGCTTGGGTCGATGTCTTCAGTGCCTCGAGCGTCGCTGGTTAACTTCCTCCTTAGCTTCCAAGGGTCGATCCCCTTGGTTGTTCTGCCCGTGGGGCAGATTAGGAGATTGAGCTTGTGAGGATTCCTCTACGACTTGTCACCATGTGTTGGTTCTTGAGCGGGTTGGTGAGCATCGGTTGTGGGTTCGTCACGTGGTTGTTCACGAACTCAAGCTCCTTGTGGGCCCAACTTAGATTGGATACTTCCTTGTGGGCCCAAGCGAGCGTGGACATTGGACTTTGGGCCTAGCCTCTCGTGTACATTGGTCCTTGGACCTAACCTCGAATGGATTGTCTAACGACTTAGAGTACGGCTTGTAGATGTCTACGTCTCGTCAGCACGATCTCGTTCTCTCCTATGCTTGTTTGTCCTTGTCTAACCAGCCTGGGACCTCTCGAATTGCTTGCCGGTATGCTCATGCGCCCTTCTCTCCTCGTCACGGGATCCAAGGTTAGGGCCTTCATTCAAGTTGATCTGCCTGAGTACCTGGCCATTCAAGTTGTTTTGATCGTCGACCCTCTGTGTGAGTTGATCAACCCGTGAGTTAAGGTCCACCTGACTGCGCGAGTTAGGAAAAGAGGTGTGCATCGGGCCTAATTGCATATTTGCTAGGGCTCCACTAGACGCGTACACAAGTGCATACGTCAAGTGTGGTTGCAGAGAAGGGAGAGAATAGATTTTCTCCAAGACTGGGACGGTGTCGAAGTAGCCGTGGGGCTGTGCAGCAAATTCAGCAGCCGCCCAACTTCGGCAGCAGGCGCTTGCGGCTGCAAGGCTGTGGAGGTCACGAAACCATGTGGTGGCTGTTCTGCAATTCCAGTAGCTATTTGCAGCGTCTGTTCTACAATTCCAGCGCTAGGAGGTGGCTGCAAGGTGTTGGCTGCCACGGTTCCGTGTGGTTGCTGCGAGGTTTCCACCACGAAACCATGAGACAGGCCCATCGTGGTGGTGTTACTCTTCGTACGTCTTGTATCAACCATGGTTGTTCGAAAAAAAGTGTGGAAAATGGATTTGGAGCACGCTTTGAGTATTATTTCGCGCTCTCAATGAAAGCACCAATTTGTGGGAGCGATTTTCGTCCCACAAGAATATTCGTCTAAGATTCCGTCTTCCTCTTCGCTTCTCTTTCTCCCTACAAAACAATACGGAGTAAAAGACCATACTCGGGGGGTGTTGGCCAAAGGCCCTCCGATGCCTAAGTTAGGTCGAGTGTTTGTAGGAAAACAATAGCTAACAATAGGATGAAGATTTCTCTAGGGTGAGAACCGGGTGGCCGGAGCCGTGTGTGGTGGCTGGAGCCTTGTGTGAGAGAGAGAAAGAGTATGGCGGCTAGGGTTTGTGAGAGAGAATTTCTATGTTTTAGACAGAAGTTTAGACGTACCTCAACCCTTGGTGTAGCTATGTATTTATAGAAGCCTCGGAGGCTAGGGTTTCAGAAGAATAATTCCACAGATGGAAAGGAATTATTCTTCCCCGATTTGAAGAGATTGATGTAATTAGGGATTTGATTATTTGATTAAAGTCAAATCCCTAATTAGGGTAAGAATCAAATAATTCCCAATTAAATCAAATAACTTCCAATTAAGTCAAATAATTCCCTAATTGATTGGCTTAATTATTTGACCTAGGATATGTAGATATTTTGCTTCCACAATATGCTTAGAGAAAGGTTAGCTGCATGTTAACTGTTTCATCATATATATTCAGGTAGCAGCTATTTCATGAGATGCACGTCGTGCATTGGAGATATGCAGGCGTGCAGCAGAAATCACAGATTATCGACTTAAGAAGCCAATCTCAAATTCTAATAATGCTTCTCAAGGTATAGACTTCAACCACAACCCCTTTAAATTTGGAAACTTGATTTGAACAATCCTTATTTTGTTAATGTTTTGGTAATCTGTCCTATTCTCCTTCCACTTCATTGAAACTGTATCACCGTAAGTTTCAATTGCTGGAATTATCTAGTAGACAGAAATATTTTTGTTTGGTTTTATTTCTGTCAATGGTGATGCACCTGTGGGAAAGATGTTTTCTGTTAGTCATATTTCACACTTTTTAGCTATTTCTTACGATTGATTGCTTTAATTTAGTTCAGATTAATGACTAATCTTGGCTTCCAGTTTCCACTGACCACATCAACAGAACATAGAGTATATAAGTTAACCTTCCATGAACATCACTTGATATTGAGGTTTGAATAATTTGGTTTTATAAATATACAAGCTCCTTCTCAAGGGAATTCTTACATGGCTCCATATTGGGACTTCCTCAGAATATTGACACTTCGTTCTGATGTGGTGCCAACTTGCCCAGTTGCGTCTTTATTTAACATCATGGTGAAGACTGTTGATGCATTATTTTGATTTGTTATTTAACATCATATTGATTCTAGTTTGTCACTTTTGTTTTTTTGTTTTTGTTTTCAGTTTTATGGTAGTGAAACATTTTACATTTTAGGATTACTTGAAAAATCCAGAATGCGTTCTATCAAAGCAAGCTTTAAAGTATACTTCATAGAGAAATGTTCTCTTGCGAGACAATTTGGCAATGTAAAATGCTTATGTTGCAAGACTATGAATTTAGGCCATTTATTAGGTTGGTTCTTGTCTGAGTGTGTTATCCAAATTCATAATTTGGCAACATAAGCATCATTAGAGTAGTTTAGAATATCACTTTTGTCAGGAAAAAAAAAAAACATGGACTTTCATTGGCAAAGAATCAATTGGTCCCATAATGAGAGTTTGTGTCATGGAAGATCTGGTTTAAATACCAAATAATACATGTGTTGGTCCTTTTTCCCGCGAACACTCCTTTTGATGATTTTGGAGAATCAGGTTGCTTTGCGGAGTGAGGAGGTTGTTGGATCAACACCAATGCCCCGATTGGATCTTCTTGGCTTGCGAGGAAGATTCTCTCAACTTCTGAACAAAATTGAAAGTTGAATCAGGTTGACAGGAGTGGGTGATGAGTAGATTTTATATTATATATTTAACCATATTCTTAGTATATTTTGGTTAATATTTTGGAAGAATTTTGATACTTTAAATTGTATTTTCAATATAGGACTTTCGAATTCTTCTGAAGCAAACCGTGGCCAAATGGATGAATTTGGAGTAATTCCGGTTTGAGGACATTCGTGAGTCAGTTGGCTTGATAGTATCAAAATATCATATTTTTCTACCAAGCGGTTAATTTCTGGCAATAAAATAAAGGAGCAGTGCCCGGTGTTGGAATAGTGATGTTTTGAACTTTTATTGCATTTTTGGAGCCCAAGATGACCTCAGATGGGTTCGTGGCCGAGTCCAGTTTTCCTGTTACCAAATCCCATGTTTCCCCCTTAGTTTTGCGACATGTCGCACACAACTTAACAGAAGTTTAACTCTGTTAACTCTCTTTTAGCCTTTTTATTTATTTATAGATATTTATAAAAATACCCAATCCTAGACATGTATTTATAAAAATACCCAAACACTATTTAAACATAGAAACACACCCAAAATCAACCCCACAATCAACAATTGTATATTTTTTGGGTGTGTTTATAAATGGGTTTTGAGAGTGTGTAATGATGGGTTTTGGGTACGTTTATAAAATGTTTTGGGTGTTGGGTATTTTTATAATTTCAGCCCCCATTTTGGGTATTTTAGTGAAACTCCATTTTTTTTTCCTTTAATTAAAATCATTAAAATATATTAGATTAGAATACCGTCAGATTTCAACCCCCCTTCATCTTCTCTGCACTGCAAAACTCAGCCGCTTCATCTTCTTCGCTTTGCATAACTCAGCGGAGATACTTGTATCTGTACTATTTTCATGTATGCAAAACTCAACTCATGCATCTATTTCGTTCGTTGGCCGCTGGTTTGTCAGGTAAGCCAGAATCTGCTTCATAATTTTTTTCCCTTTTTGGCTGCTGGTGTTGGAGCCAATGATTGATTTGCCATAATCATATACCCATTATGCAATTCATTTGGTTTCAATATTTTTTTTCCAGAAAAAGAGAAGGAAAAAGGTTGATTTGCTAGTTTAATTTTATGACGGAGATGACGATGATTTGGAAGCCACTTCATCTTCTCTGCTCTTTCAGCGAAGGCCACCAGTTGCAATTCAGTTTCGAAATTGGTCAACAAGGACGATGCCGGCTCTGTGGTAAGTGAGGAAGGTTTTCCTTGGACTCCAACGTCTGGTACTCTAGTGTGCCATTTTTCTGTTGCGACCAAGCAAAGTGGTTTTGCTTCATCTAGCCATTCTTCCACGATTCCTACTCAATCTTGGGTACAAGTTTCTGGTTGTAGCCTTGCACTCCAACTGTTCGATGCAATGCTGAGCTCATGTGGGTTATTCCAGGGTGGCTGTGTTAATAGTTTTGCTAGGTTTCTCTTTTCAGTTAAATTATAGTTTTATGAATTTCAGAAGAAAATAAATAATTAAAACAATCCCAGACCAGTGGAGTTTGAGAAATTGAGAGTGGTTGTGAAGTGAAGCTGTATGGAATGAATATTGAAATGAAGCTTGTAATGCAATTGTAATATTGAGTGTGTTCGTACTTTGTAGGGATGGTTTTTTTTTTTGGTCGAAATCGTATATATGGATGGTTTTAGTATCTAATCGTATGGATGGTTTTTTTTTTTTTTTTTTGTGGCAAAAATCTTGAGAGAGAGCAATGGGGCAAATATATTGAGAAAGAATATGGGCATCCAAAGAACTGCACAAGGTTTTGGCAATCCTTCTCTCCAACTCCATTTAAATGATTGAAGTAGATCTTTCCCTCGTAAATAAAACAGAGTTGCTGCCACAGAAGTATGCTCAACCCTATCTCTAATGAAACACTTGAAACAAACAGATACACCAGAACAAGCCCTATGATACATTAGTGCAAGATTACACTTGGTACATTAGTGCAAGATTACATAGGACTTGATGCCCTTTACAAGTATTACCAAAAATCACATTCAATTAGAGATACTTCCATCATCTTTATTTGCCAAAATATATTGCAGTACCAATTTCATTTACAAAAGATTTGATTTTCAGTTACAGATACAAGTACTATTTTCATTGAATGTAATACTTGAACACCTTAAGAAGGCAGAGATGCCAAATATCAGAATAAGGTGAAGTAAGTTAACATGCCAAGACAGGAAAAACATAAAAAAACGTTCTAAATCAAAACCGAGTTCTTAAAAATTATGGAACTCTTGTAAATTGAGAACTAAACAACCCAAATTCAATATTATGACGCTTGGTGACTCTTGTCAATTGAAAAAGGTGGATCCACTTCAACATTATAACTCTTGGCCCCAACACTTGTGAATTGAGAGCTAAACAACGCAAATTCTTCTTCAAAGGGTGATTGTGCCTACACTCATACAGTACATGTCAATAGAATGAAATAGACTCAATCAAGTAAATAATTATGATTAAGAAAAGTTTAAACTAAATACAATGAAGCACCTGCAACAAGCTGATCATGCTAACTGGAAATTCCATGCTTAAATTATTGACAGCAACAAGTTCCTACAATTTTTTGGGTTCAACAAATACAATAAGAAAAATACGATGAAGCTATAGGGTAATAAACAAACAAAAAGGAAATTAATAATGAATTTAAACAATACCTGTGAAAATTCTGATAGAGGTGTTGGGACAACTTTCATAGTAGGAACACATATTGAATCAACACTACTTGAATGGTGCAATTCTGTTTTTCGAGTCCTTCTCTTCTTTGTCAGCTTCTCCAAAGCATTTTTTGGCCTTTTAGAACTAACAACAACTCTTTCTTTAACTTTGATTCCTCTAACTTTAATGATGTCATCATCAACATTGACACACTCATTCAACTCATATATGCTATTAATTACTGGTGGGATCACTTCAGACGTTTCTTGACTTGATTTTTCTTTCAAACATGCATCCACCTTTTCAAAAGTCTGGTTCAATCGCCGTATAACAATTTCATACGCCTTACCACACCTTGCTGCCCTTGTTGCTAATTGAGTATGCAACCGACACAACTCTCTATAACGTCTTACAATTTCTGCCTTAGGCTCATTTAGACTTGAAAAAGAATTAATTTTGGCACTCATAGCCTTAACATTTTTTGTCCATCTCTTCAAGATGTAATGAGTTGGGATACTTTTAACATTTCTTGTAGAAAGCACCTTCAAGGCATGTGCACATAAGATTCCTACAAACTCAAACTTCTTACAACTACATAAAGTTACATTATTTGTTAAGTCAAATGTAACTGTATGGTGCCAATTCTTCCCATACGGGATAACTTCATACTTGCTGATTGTACCCATCTCACCATTGAAGTGCAAAGCACAATCATAAGCCTTACATAGCTCATCTCACCATATATGTTCATATTAGTTATTGATGAAATTGGAAAATGGACGTAGATGAAAACCAAAACAACGAGCTCCAATCCCTTATATTTAATATCAGAAAAAATAACCAAAACAAGCAAAGTATCGGAAAATTTGTAAAAGAAAAATCAATATATTGTATATAAATTGTTACTGTAGATGAAAACAAAAAGGGAAAAAAGATTGAAACCAAATGAATTTGATTCAAATAATTGCATATTGGGTATATGATTGTCGCAAGTTATATGTTTATACCTTTCTCATACGATGGCTAAAAAACCAGCAGTCAAAAAGCAGAAGAAAAAGAATTATGAATAGCAGAGCATGGCTTACTTGATGAACTAGCAGCCAACGAGGGAAGTTGAAAAACAAACCATATGCAGGGACTGAGTTTCGCATAGGGGAGAAGATGAAGCGGCGTGCAAACGTGTTTTTGTCAAACGTGTATTCTAATCTAATATATTTTAATGATTTTAATTAAAGAAAAAAAAAAGGGCTAAAAGAGAGTTAACAAAGTTAAACTCCTGTTAAGTTGTGTGCCACATGTCGCTAAACTAAGGGGGAAACAGGGGGCCACAGGGGATTTGGTAACATGAAAATTGGACTCTCTGGAGAAGTGTTCAGAACGTTTCTATCTTTAAAACAAGCTATCTTGGGCCGGATTTGGAGGAGATTTTTCCTAGTTAAGTTTAGCCAGTGTCTAGTTTGTTAAGTTTTTATTTTTTGTTTGAGTCTTGGTTTGCTTGAGGACAAGCAAAAAAGCTAAGTTTGGGGGTATTTTGATGAGTAGATTTTATATTATATATTTAACCCTATTCTTAGTATATTTTGGTTAATATTTTGGAAGAATTTTGATACTTTAAATTGTATTTTCAATATAGGACTTCCGAATTCTTCTGAAGCAAAATGTGGCCAAATGGATGAATTTGAAGTAATTCCAGTTGGAGGACGTTCGTGAGTCAGTTGGCTTAATAGTATCAAAATATCAAATTTTTCTACAAAGCGGTTAATTTCTGGCAATAAAATAAAGGAGCAGTGCGCGGTGTTGGAATTGCGACGTTTTGGACTTTTATTGCGTTTTTGGAGCCCAAGATGACCTCAGATGGGTTTGTGGCCTTCTGGAGAAGTGTTCAAAACGTTTCTATCTTTAAAACAGGCTATCTTGGGATGGATTTGGAGGAGATTTGTGGCCAAAATGTGGCTGGGCAGATTGTGGGCAGATTCTCCTAATCCAATTTGGACTTTATAACCTAGTATTATTTTATTTTAACTTAGTTTCCTTGTGGGGATTGGGCAGCTGGGTTTTAGGAGGTATTTAAGTTCTTTTTCACAGCAATTTTTGGGCTTCTCTTTGGCTTTTGAACGTGACATTGTGGGGAGCAAGTGCTAGGGTTTTGGAGTTCTGCAACTTTAAGGTGTTTTCATTCTTTTTCTTCTTAATAATATTTTCCATGATTTCAGTTATGAATATGTGCAACTAATTTTCTTTTGCTAGGGTGAAACCTTGAACCTTAGCATGAATATGTAATTTTTATTTAATTGCTTATGATTGATTGCATGCATACTTTGAATTGTTAATCACTGTTTTAAACTATCTAATTGTCTTAATGCCTGATCACCATTAGGATCTTTAGAAAAGTAATTGGATACAATTTTGGTCTGAAGGTTCCCTAAAATTGACGCTTGCTTCTTGTGATTAATAATTGTAATTTCAATTAAGATGAACACCACGTCTTAAGGGTTGCATGGTTTTTCAAAGGGTTTTCACAAAACATAATGAGTATTTCATGTTCAGATTTGATCTGAACGTCCGGACAGGTTGCATGTTGGATATATGTTCTATGTTGGAGGTTCCAAGTAGAATATAAATTAGGAAAACCTAACCTTCAAAGTGGCATGTGCAAATCATAAGTAATTGGTAAAATTTCATAGGATTGCTAGGTGATGTTGAAACCCTAGTGCTTTTATAAATTGGTATTTAAAACTCTTTTCTTCAATCGTAATTGTTTTTGTTTAAAATTTGTTTTTAGTATCAAACAATTTCATAATCATCATTCTCAACTTTTAATTTTAGGCAGTTAATTGGAAAATATTTTTACATAAATTGCTAAATAGTCCTTGGGGAGAACGACCTTGCATGAGCATCTATACTACAATAGTATTGTATTCTTGCAAGTAGTTTATGTGATTTTAACCTTATTTGCGTGGATGGTAAAAATTGTATCAGTGGGCAAACTCGGGTTGGGCCCTGTCGGTCTGCTCCTTCTATCCTGATTCGGGATTCGCATAGGCGTGCAACTATTGGGTATGAGACCAGCCCAATAGACCTGGTGTGGTGGTGTAGTGTGTTGATTTGTTGTGTTTGCAGTTGTTCTAGACCTCTCGTCAAGTCATTGTGCTCCAAGGGGGTTACTGGCCTGGATAAGTTCGTTTCTATGCCTCAACTAAGAGGACTTCAATATTCTTTCATTTGTGTGTATCAGTTTGACAGATATGAGCAATACCTAATCAAACAAGGAGGAAACCAAAATCGTGGTTAATGATACCCTGTTCGAGTTTAGAAACCTAGTTCAAATTCAAACAACCCTCAAACAGGGTCAATATTCCAGTCACTTTGGGCCCAATAAGGTAATTTGGGCCTGAATTAACCTTCTATTTTCATACTAAAATATGGCCCTATTCGAGCCTAGACCCATATTTTAGGTTCAAATGACGAATTTAAAATAGCGCGAGAACGGGAAATTAATTAATCTATCGAAACATGTATAATATATAAAAGCGATTAAATGACAAATGCTTAATGAAACAGTCAAAATAAATTCCGAAATCTCTTTATCTAACTTTAACTTGACAACAAAAGGAAGATGAGAGTTCTGAATTTATCCATTTAACAAATTCGAAATATAAATTACAAAGCAAGAAAGGACTAAAGATTTATCTATCCAGTCAGATGGATACATGAATTCAAACTGATCGTTTAAAAGAAAATCATACCACGAAGATGGCAGAGCAACAAAAAATGAATGCAGGAGTTGTCAACTGGTTATCTGGAATTTAAGCGGGCTAATTTGAAATGATCTTGAGTTTTTTCAAGTGTTTTCGAGACGTTGCGTCTAGTTTGGAGAGGGAGTCCTCTTCTTCTGTGGTGGAGGCTCTTTATTTATAGGCAAGGAGCAAGCTTCAATGATGAATACTGAAAG